CTCAAAATCCTTACAAAGAGAATCCGGTGAGGATTGCGAGGAAGATGCTGCCAGATGCCAATGCCCGAGCGTAGGTTTCTTCTATTTAGAATTTCTTTAATGATTTTATGTCAAATAAAAATAAGTAATAGAGATAGTTCTCAGTAAGTCATAAGGCAGGCCTCCAAATACAAGGAGACACAAAGGTGACAGGATCTGCGGCCCTCTGTGTGTATTTGGGTCGATCCAAAATTCTGGAGACCATGCATATAGAATTGGGAGGTTTATCAATCCCTCCATTTGCTGCATATCATATCTAGCAGTTCTACAAGGACACATGCAAGCTGAGTTAATACCGACTAAAAACTTTTGTGCTCTAATTTTAAAAGGCATATATTTATGGACTTTTTTTTTAACAAGTGATAATATCTACATTAAGGGAAATGGGTGAGCTTAGCCTCACAATAGGTTAGCAATAATGTCATTCATACTCGCATTTGGCGAGAATCAAACCTAAAACATCTCACTTACAAGTGAAGAGGAATACCACTAGATTGTAGTATAAGTGGCTATAGACTTTTCTTTTTCTCTTGTTTTGCACAAACTAATGTACCCTATGAACAAAATGGTAGGTATTTTTATATATGTTCTATATATGAAATTAAGAGGGCACAAAATGTTTTTTTTCTTAATAAAATTGAAAAGGGCACAAATTAATTGTGTTGTTAGACCATTATTGTTGTGGTGTAGGTGCACTGAATGAAATGCTGATGTACGTAACATATTCTTCAATTATCTCTTCTTCTTTGTTTTTTAAAGGACAAGAACGATTAAAACCAAAAAATATAGATAAAGAAGTATAAACAAAATATAAGAAAAGAATCTTGGTTCTTTTCTTTTGGATGATTTCCAACTTTTATTTATCTATCATTCCTTGTCATTTGTATTATGTATTATTGCTGTTGGTGTTGTTGCTATTGTTTACTATATAGTATACTCCCAAGCTATATCAAAGCTCACCCACTAATTGACAGTTATATACCATTGCATGTAGTGGAGTAGTTTATATCCAAACTTGGAGGATGCTGTCTACTTGATCATTTTTAACAAAATAAAATTTATTCAATCCAAACGGGATGGACACAGGTATTCGCTTAGCAGTTTTTCTAAAACAATACTGTTTTCTAGTTAAGCAGTTCTCATTATCCTTGTGCAAGCAAGGTGTTGAGCACAATTCAATGAATTAAAATTTTCCATTCATAATGACTAATTATTACGTTAAAAATGAGGATAATTTTTACCGGAACCCATATATATTTTCTTGGCAAAGAAAAGAACCCCCAACATCATCATATTAAACATAATTAAGCATTTCTTAATCCTGTGTTTCATCTGAAGGGTAATCACATGCGAAAAACCTAGTGAGACACATGCATGAGGACATTAATTAGCAGTGTTGATGACAAAATAGGTGTTCTTAAAAAATAAAAATATAAAACAAAGAAGAAGAGTATATCATCTTGAAGAAATCATCAAACCCAGAGACATGAGAACATATACGCTAGATTGCTCTAAATTTTATGCCTAGGAATTTGCTAAAGATTTTTCATATGAAATTTGTGATGTTAATGAGATATATAATTATAATTAAAAAAGCAATCTTTGCATATATACTTCAGCAGGAGACTGGGTTGGACTTGGACATCAATTATTTATGCCCTAGTCATCCATGGTGATACGTGCAAGAAATATTCCTTCAGTCGATCGATCAAGCCGTAAGTGACAAGGACTCGAAGATGGCATACATGAGTGCCAGATGGCAAGCGTGGAAAACTGCAGAACCCACCATGGTTTTGTCAGCATCTCATATGGACTTTTCCTTTAGGGTTTCACTCGTATGGAATTTTGTTTAATGCTGTCTGGTATACATGTCTCGAGCTAGCCGGCCTTCAACCTCAAATTAAGGGTCGTGCTTCAAGGAAATTAAGACACCGACAAACCATTTCTATATGATTGTTTTTATTTTTTAATGAACTCATTATTCTTTTCCTGCTAATAAAGTACTACTGCTACACTTGCGGGTTTTCACAGTACTGTTTCTAGTTCTCTCTTTGGTTAGACTTGGGTATTATTAATAAGTGAAGCTAATCCAGGTTAAGTTAAAAGTATAAATATCACTTTCAAACAAACAGGACTGATGAGATCATAATAATATTCTCTGATTAGCAAAATAAATAATAAACTACATGCATGAACTTCACATAAACACACACACACGCATGAGAAAATTGAGAAATGAAGAACTACAGTATATACGTGGAAAAATGTATATGAAATGGTACGTAAAATGAAAAATCAAAAAGTAAAAACTATTTTAAGTTGTTTTGATTTTCAAAATTTTGCTTCATATAATTCTCTATTCTTTCCCTCCTACCCTTGGGCTTTCTTCATCACTTAAATGTTAGCAAACACACTCTTATATACATCTTAAAAATGTCATGGTAATAAATACACGACTCATTTCATAACTATTTCATTTTTAATTTTCATTACTGTGATAGAAATGAAAAAGAAAGTATATAGAAGAAATAAGGAACGAAAAAGGATAAATTAAAGGAAGGCAGTAAGATAGAGGAAGAAATTATCTGAAAACAAAAACATAAAAAAGCGAAAACAACTTGGACTTGTTTTCACGCTTTTTCTGTATCTATACTACAATAATTGGTGAACTGTCGTTGTATTTTTACGCGTGCTCACGTGGAAGCATGCATTTAGAAATCGCTTAGTTAATAACCATGAGAGAGTCAGCGTGCACAAATGGTCCAACGATTCAAACCACTTTGGATAAATGAAGACTTCAATAACTATTTTCCATTTTTGCGTGTGTGCACGTGCAGATACTTTGACTCTGTGACAATGTATATTACAATCACATCGATTTACAATTGATTTGTATTGCTAAAGGAATATTATATCAGAGCTCTCATGACAATAGATTTGTTGTTTTGTTGCTTTAGAACATTTAACTCTACATCTAAGATTATGAGTCGATTTTTCCCTTTCTATATTCCGTCGAGAAATAACTACTACTAATTAGTACATAATTTGTGATATATTTTAAGATTAAGTATAAACTTAAAATGTGAATAAAACTAATACAAACATCGAAAATAACATAATATTGTCCGATCTATGGGAATATGAGAAAGCGCTTTTAGTGCCAAAACGAGTAATACTAATAAATGGTTGCATTTGTGCTTCTTACATTTTCATTACTATATAGCAATTTGATGTGTTTAAAAAAAAAAATTCATTGTTTTTCATCGTTAATAATATAATAAACACATATTTGTTTTAATAATTTCAAGCCTTCTTTTCATCTTGTACCCATAGAGACATTGAATAGAATAAACGGTTAGTTCCTGATATAACTTAAAACAAATGGAATTTAACCTAAAATTAAATCATTACGGAGAACGAGATGCATCACTTATCGAACATAGTCCGACCACCAAACTTGGAGGAGCATACAACATAATGCATGCTTGGTATCTTAGACATCGTGGTTTCACACAAAGAATAGGCAGAAAAGCTCTAAAAAATTAAGATTGATTCTAACTATTCACTCTTATTTAATTTTTTGAAATTTTCAAAGTCTCATGGAATTAAAAAATGGGCAAGAAGACAAGAGGTGCACGTGTGGGGAGTGAAAACGTGAATAAGTCAACAACATCAAAAGAAACATATATACGCGTAACTATCCCTTAATTTAAGCTCCCAACTCCTTTAGAAAAGTGTTTCTTGCAAAACTCCAATTAGAGGGGACAAACAGCCGCTACCAGCCTGGCTCCAACCCCTCCTTCCTTATTGTACACAGAAGTCTCAACCTTCACTTCTCTGGAGAGTTTTTTTTTTTTTTTTTTGGGTGTGCCAAACATGACACATACAACAAGTGTCATAATACAAGTGTTTGGATATTTGAAAATAAAAAATTCAACAATTTGTATTATGACATTTGGTGTACTATAACGTGTTTCCGGCACGTTGAAATTTTCTCCCCATTCCTAAAGAAATCATAAAAAACAAATTAGAAAGTCATTCAATCTTTTCAATTACATAGTACATTTTATACATACTTATACAGAAGACTAAATTTATACAGGAGTTTAATGAACCATATTATGGATTGATCAGCTAGTGCACCCTGCCTCCATATGTAGTGTGATGTACTAATTTAGTCTAAATCTCTCTAGTACACTAGTAGAAATGCCCCTGATCATCTATGACTATTTTTTCCTCAAAGACCACTAATTTAGTCTAAATCATACGTTCTAGGATAATTATTTGGTATTGGATACCAATTTGAGTGGTTGATATTTAACTAACAATTTGATCCATCCTTAATGTAGCGGGTACCGTAGATTGTACTATATATATACCTGGCAATCACTTCCCTTACATTATTCAACTTAATATAAGAAAGGACGGTATTATAAAATTTAAAATGAAAGCAATCCACAACACATAGAAAACTAGAAACAATGGTGAGCCGAATTATACGTAAAGTCTTATTGTTGAACTTCTATTATAGTCTTACTCACTTCTCGTTCAAATTAAATAGAAAGAAATCTCAAGGTGTAAAAAGAATTATCAAGGTTTTCTCATCAAAGTTGTAATCCTAGTTTCTTTCCACTCTCAGAGCAATTAGAAAAAAATCAAATCCTGATAGCGCCCCTCTACTCCCAATCCTAACCGGATTAAATTACAAATAACAATGTTCAAACAAAACATCTAGTTATTTTGGACTCGAGGTGCCATGCCATATGTACAAATTTCCCACGTTTTAGAGTTCATGCTAATTGGTTTGAATTATTAACCATCAACTCAAACCCCCACCCACCCCACCCCCCCCCCCCTCCTACACCTAGCATAAAATAATAATAATGACTCTCTCTCTCTCTCTCTCCCCCCCCTTTATATATAGTAGCACCAGCTCAACCTTGATCGCACCTCCAAAGTACAAAGTTCAAACTCAAGTTCCCCTTCTTATCCTAGATCTTACTCCTTTTTTTTTCTCAGATTAATATTCTTTCAATCTCACAAAGAGAAAGAAGAATGGTGGTACCATCTCCTTCACCAATAAGAAGCAAGAAAACGATGGCAATAGGAATTCCCACAATCGATCTATCAAATTACAATAGGTCAAAGCTATCAGCACAAATTGTTGAAGCCTGTGAAGAATATGGTTTCTTTAAGGTGGTCAACCATGGTATCCCAAAAGCGGTCATTGAGACAATGGAAACACAAGGGTCTGATTTTTTTGCCAAGCCAACAATCGAGAAGCAACGAGCTGGCCCTGCTTGTCCTTTTGGCTATGGCTGCAAAAATATTGGTCGCAAAGGCGACACCGGAGAGCTTGAGTACCTTATTCTTCAAACCAATCCTCAGTCCATTTCTGACAGATCCAATGATATTTCCGACGACCCTACGAAATTCAGGTAATATATTGCGTTCATGATTTTCTAGTTATATAGTATGCATGTAACATATTTCGTAGACAATATATATGTCCGAGAACTAATCATATAATCAAGGAAAAAGAAAACAATGACAAGCGTAGAGAACTGGGTTTTTGGTTTCTGTTTCTTCATAGAAGTTTCAGTGTTCATGGTAATAAGTTTATCGCGTGTTTGAATTGATTTCTTTGATTTGAATTTTTCATGTCATTGCAATAAGATGTTGTCAAATGTATATAAACTTGTCCTAGAAAGATTGCTTTACAGATGAAAGGTGGAAAATACATATTATTTTTTTTGGGTAAAAATAAGGTGGAAAAGATAGTTTAGTATTAATCCTTGGTATCCTAGAAAACGACATCTTTCCTTGTTGGAAAAAGAAAGGATTGAAATCGCAAACGATGTATTCTATAAGTATCTAATACATTTTTAATACAATGCTTACCTTGTTAGTTGTTAGAATAATAATTTATTTGTTATTATATCAAATTTTAGTCAATTAGTGCGAAAGTTTTGTTTCATTACGGACAAGCCCAAGTCATAAAGAATTAATAGACTTTCGAATTGGTTGGGGGGAGCTCTTTGATGATAACAAGTCCCAATATATAATGTTTGTATTCCTACATTGTGAATAGATGACATCAATAATTCACATCTAGATTGTTGCAAATACAATGGATTAAGTTTTTGACTAACTATACACTCATCGATTCCAACAATTAATAAACCTTTGTCGTACCACGATGGTTCCTAAAAAATATATACAAAATTGAGTATGTTCATCTAATAGCTTTAAGATTTAAAAATTAAAGAATATCCAAGTTCAATTACAGTAAGATAATTGATTGAGGCTAATAGTACATGATGAGTTTTTTAGGATGGGAAAAGCAATTGGGTCGATGGCGTCTAAGTTTTCTTAATTCAAATCTAAAAGTAGCAAAGAGGCAGATAGAGGAGCATTAGCTCTATAACTGCCAGCCACTCTTTGCAACATGTAGGGCATTAGCAATGGCATTGACATTATGCTCTTTCGTCATTTTTGAGGTTAAACCCTTTCGGGACCGACTTGAGTAGTTGGAAAATTTAACCTCAAACTACATGAGCTTAAATTTCTCATCATTTTATTCTTATTTCTGCAAAATTTTACATCAGTAGTACTTCTCCATTCATACATTTTTGGAAGTGGGGTCACCAAATAGTACCAAATGTTTGCTGATCTATGAATCAGGCATGTGATGTACTAAGTAACTTTGACATGACTGCTTGGATCGACCTTATATATATTCTTGCATGATCTGAGTTTGATTTATTTATTTATTTATTTTTTGGAAAAATGAGTTTGATTTATTGGTATTGGTCAAATGAGTAAAATGAAACCACATTAAACCAGGCATCGAGTTTCGTTGAGTACAAAGAGAACGAAACTTTATGTACTTTGGTAGGCTTGCATTGGGCCACATGTTCGATTGTGGGACTTCCTCCTCTCGCGGCAGCAAGGGCCAGATCATTATTTGTTTGAAAAAGTGAACCAATTAACACGCTAATCATGATGATATATAGTAAACGGGATCCTCTTCGGATCCTTCTGATGATGATTTTAAAGATCTATGAATTGTGTCTGTTCATCATATATTGTACGATTAGTTTTTGTCAAGTATTGTTTTTGTTTAATTTTAGATAAAAATATTTAAAATAATTTATAACTGCACGATGTACGATGAACAAACACGATTTACAGATTTTCAAAATCCTCACAAAGAGGATCCGGATTCGATATATAGCTAAGTTGTGTAAGTCAACAAATTAAAAATAGATAAAAGAGATTAGTTAACATTCTTTTTATGAGGAGATGTTGGGACAAACTTGTTTTAACTTACTTATTTCTATTTGTGACACATCATTTAGTTTGTAAATTTTATTTAGAATTTTGGTTGCAATTAATAACTAGTAAATGGAGAGATTTAATGAAAAGTTGAGTTGCATATATAAGCATCCTTTTTTCATATACTCAATTTTGAAATGCATTTAGATGATTTTAACCAAATACTTGCTTTAATTTTGGGTTATACTATATTGTGCATATGAGCGAGTGAATAAGTACATCCCACCATGCATTGACAGTCAAGTCACCAAATAATTGTTATGTTTCTTGAAGTGATTAATTAGTGAATATTGCTTTTTCTATATCTCAGAGTCACTCACTCCTAAATATTGATTATTTAGTGGTAGTTATTCATTGACTATCTAACTAACAATGATCAATATTCTTTCAATTAATCCAGTTGTGCAGTGAATGATTACATAGAAGCAGTTAAAGAATTGGCATGTGAGGTTCTTGATTTGTTGGCCGAGGGACTATGGGTTTCAGACAAGTCTGTGTTCAGCAGGTTCATCAGAGACGTCCAGAGTGACTCCATTCTTAGGTTTAATCACTATCCTCCAGTCAAGGACATCAAGGACTGGGAAACAACACCAAAACAGCATTCCTTCACTAACAACAACAACAATAATCATAGTAGGATTGGATTTGGAGAGCATTCTGACCCTCAGATCTTGACCATCTTAAGATCCAACAACGTGGGGGGCCTTCAGATTTCTCTACGTGATGGCTTGTGGGTTCCCGTGGCTCCGGACCCCAATCAGTTCTTCGTAATGGTTGGTGATGCCTTACAGGTCAGTAACATCATTTTTTTTGCCTTAAATTTACCAAGTTTTATAAGTTTTTTTATCGCTAGAAAAGCTTGAACTAATTATATGATTTGAAAAAGTAATATTTGTTTATCAAATTAAATAAAAGTACAACCCCTCCCTCTCACCAATCCTAGTTGTGGGTGCTCTTCAGAACAAGAGAAAAAGATAGATAAACAATCAAGTAAATCTCACCCGTTTCCTTGTCCGGCAAGTAATTTCAAAGTTCGATTTTGAGAAAAATATGTGGAATTGAGCTCCTTACAATGTGGCAAGCTGAGTGACAAGTATCTTCGGTTACAACATCATTTCTTATATGATAATGCCAAGTTCTTTATTTTGGTGTTGCAAACAATAAAGTCATTCTTAGAACAAACCAATTGAATTAAATCAAAATAGTAAAATGTAATTCACAAATAAAAACAACATTAAAAAAAAAACAGAAGTTAAACAAACCTACAAAGTGCATATATGTTTTCTAACGTATGCATTAGTATAATTTAATTTTTATTATAATTTGCAGGCTTTGACGAATGGGAGGTTAGTAAGTGTGAAACATAGAGCACTGGCAAACTCAGTTGTGAAGCCAAGGATGTCAATGGTGTACTTTGGGGCACCACCCCTCAATGCATGTATGTCTCCTCTTCCAGAGATGGTGTCGCCGGAGAAGCCCAGCCTCTACAAACCTTTCACATGGGGTGAATACAAGAAAGCTGCATACACTACACGATTGGGAGATACACGTCTAGACCATTTCAAGATTAATAATCACACCAGCAAGTGCAACGATCAAACTCAATGTCCATGCTTGGACAATCTTGTACGATAGAATGTATAATTACATCGTACAAAGATTAATTACTAGGTAGATAATTACTTAAGTCTATATATGTAGTCATAGTTAAGGTGCGTATATGTATGGCTAGCATAGCAAGCTAGGTCAAAATTGTAGTTGAAAAATTAGAGGTTGTTTGTATGGATCGGGAATTTTTGCTTTGAGATTTAAGCATTTCTCCATTAATTTATGCCTAGTTGCATGTGGATTTGTTTGTTTGAATATATATAAAACAAGTGTAGCTATATATATATATATATGAAGGTTTTTAATATTAATTAGTGTATGAGAGTTTACTTGCACGTTTGTACGTTTGTATTTTCTGTCTCTTGTTGTATTAGTAAAACCACAGTATTTTTTTCTTCAGGTATTCTTTGGTCAATTAAGTTGGATGCCTGCTGGATAAATTGATTTGATCAATTAAGCTAGCTGGACAGAACAATGTGGCCAAGTTTTGTTGTTGCAGCACGTTGGTCCTTGGTCATTGATTTAGTATTGATTTGGTACTGATGTGTTTTTATAAAAAGTGGGTATAAAAACAAGTTGAACTCAAAAAGTTGTTTGGTAAACACTTAAAAATAACTTATTTTTACAGTTTTGGGTAAAAAAAAACTGAAAACGTGAAGTAGCAAAAATAAGTTTATTTTCACCTCACAGCAGAAATAATTTTTTTTTTAAAATACAATAATACCAAACTAGCCCTTAATTAGGTATACGTACCTAAGAAAATTACATGATACCGACGTCTGAGCTCATGTGCATCATCAACTAATAGGTTTCAATATCGCAATCAACAATTTGCCCATCTTTGGCTCATACTTTAGGTCCACTAGATGCCGACATTTTTTGCTGGGACATATGTATGCCCCTACAGGCTACAGCTGCTAGCCGTGAAGATTTCCAGTACAGTCACATGTACACTTTTCATTCAACTATATTATTAAGATCCTCACTGCTTAATATTACGATGTAATGATATTCTTTTTTATTTTTAAGTAAGAAGTCTTAGATTTAATTCTCGTCAATGACGACTTTAAACTACATTGTTGCTAACTCATTATGAGGTTAAACATATCCCTTCTTCCTTAATTTAGATAATACCGTTTGCTAAAAAAAAATTATATTATTAAGATCCTCAACTAAAATAGTATACCCTCGCATATTTTTTCTTAAATAACCCCTAATTAATTAAGAAAGAGTCTACGATACCCGTAAGCTAGCTAGAGTACGATCAAGTTACACTGATGAGTCGAGGGATTTTTAATTTGAAGTTTGAACCTCGAGAGGGGGATGAAAAAGAAAGACTCGATCGTGAGTGTGATTTTGCATTTGGCTATTTTTAGTCTCACCAACTTTGACAAAAATAAAGTGATCGATGAGGGTTCTATCACCCACCCTGATTGGCAGCTTTACTTGTGTGATAGCTTTTGGAATAACAATTATTGTTAGGTACTACGAGATAATTATGAAGATGCTCAAAAGAAGCTCATCTAGGCTAATTTAATTAAGGTTCTTACTTGTTTAGGTAGGTTTCCACATTCCTCATTGTATTATTGTTTTGTGAGTGTATCCCAATTATGTCAATTCGAGTAAAAGCATGGTACATATAATCATCATTAGTATCATTATTCGGCTCGATATACCGCTTGTTGGGGCTCACTACGTCCTCTTGAGTTGCACCGGTAGGGTTTGTAACATTTTTTCTTTAATACTTCTACACTAATCTATACTAAAGGACTGAGTTTGAGCCCGAGATGTAATGGGCTAAAATGGAGAGCCTAATCACAGGGACAATCCACTATTTTTAGGAGTTCTTGTAACTTAATTACTTTGTCTATTATGGTAGGGTTAGGTCATAAGTCCATCCAAGTGTGGGGTTCTATTTCAGAAAACATTGGTGCAACTTATACCTCTTTATGGACAATCACTTTGGATATGAGGGGAATTAAATTTGGGATCTTGAGTGTAAAAATAAATGCTCTTAGTTAAGTTACGTGAAAGCCTTTGCTATGGACAGTCATTGCTTCGATGTGAGACAATGTTTATTGTTCTATATACCTTACAATCATATTAGTGAATCGCATTATGTTACAACACTCGCAATCCATCTATTTGTTAATTATTATTATTTTAATTTACTTACATATGGCTGTTGATTATGCGCTTTACCCCATCAACACATTGTTGATGCCCACGCCATATCTCTCTCTCACTCACACACACACACACACACTCTCTCTCTCTCTCTCTCTCTCTCTCTCTCTCTCTCTCTCTCTCTCTCAAACTCTCTCACACACACACTCTCTCTCTAAGGTGCGCACTCACAACCACACACTCTCTCTCTCTCTCTCTCTCTCTCTCAACACATTGTTGATGCACACACACACAAACACAGAGCTAAGGTGCGCACACACACACACACTCTTTCTCTCTCTCTCTCTCTCTCTCTCTCAACACATTGTTGATGCACACACACACAAACACACATTGAAATTGTCCAACGCTTATTGACTTTGTAATAAATAGCATGACTTTAGATGGCCAACTCCGTTACATAACTCCGCACGGCAAGAATTGCATGAAAGAATTATACCTTAAATACATTTCTTGTGACAAAAGTAAATGTCGCATGACGCATTTCTTTCTCAAATTATTTGTGGAAAAAAGTGGAGGGGAAAATTGAGTGTTGTTAGTTCAATGAATAAATTTATTATACATATATATATATATATATATATATATATATATATATAAGCCGATGATCGATCTTGTAGATATTCAATCTTCAAACCCTGTATGCATATGGCTTCTTTACTATTGTTACTGAGAGCGATAACGCAGCCCCACCATAGAGATCTTTTGGTGAATATTGAGGGGTCGACGGAACAGTCCAACTCCAAGCACTGCAATTATCATAATGAGCGAAAAAGGAATTGGAATGTGCTCTCCGGTGAGTACCTATGGACTACTTTTATGAGCCATGACGATCGAGATTTTCAAACCAGCTGGAGGTTAGGTCAGTATGGCATTTGGCCGTGATTACACAATTGCATCCACTGCTTACTTTACACCCCATATGCATGTAAAGCAAGGAAATATGCTTTGGGTTTGCTTCGTTTTCAATATTTAGTAAAACTAAAGTTGCCTACGCTTTAAGATCTGGAAAGGGAACTTTCATTTTTCATTGTGTGGAATTTCTCCGTTTGGGACCTTGCTGAAATAAAATTTAAGCAGAGGACTTGGTTGCTCTTTTCCGTTGTGCCCTTTCAGATTACTTACCTATTGGTACGGTCTTCGCCTCTCAGTCGTATATCCGTGCATTTCGATACTCAATTTCATTTAGTAACTAATTCGGCCTTTCATTCTTTGGGCATGTAATGATCTTTCTTCAATACCTAATTTGGTTACTTCGATGCTTGTACGTAGCAGACCTTCTCTTGTGCAACTATATACACATTCCATTAGCACATTTCTTTTTCAATCGTTATAAAATCACATCAACTGGAGTTACAACAAGCCCTTAAGCTACAATCGGGTAAACAAAAACCATTTGTTCACAGAGAATCGTAAAATAAATGGGGCTTTTCATTGGTTGTTGGAAGGAGACGTCCAATGCAAAAAGTCTTATTTTTAGACGTCTCATGTACTTTGCAGAAGATTTTTACTTTATCCGACCCCAACACTCTATGGAGTAGGATTCTCTCTGTCACATCCCAGTCCTCATAGTAAGATATTGTCCACTCCACTTAGGGGTTTGACGTCCTCATCGGCACACTTCCGGCACACTTCCGGTTGGGGAGTGGCTCTGATACCAAATTGTCACATCCCAGTCCGCATAGTAAGATATTGTCTACTCCACTTAGGGGCTTGACGTCCTCATCGGCACACTTCCGGTTGGGGAGTGGCTCTGATACCAAATTGTCACATCTCAGTCTGCATAGTAAGATATTGTTTGTTTTGGGTCACACCCTCACGGATTTGTTCTTGGGCTTCCACCCAAAACACGTCTTACTATAGGGAGGTGTGCATGTACATATAAGGCACATCACCTTCCCTCCCCCAGGCGATGTGGGATCTTACACTCTCCCCTCCTATTCTCATTATTTTTCCTTCCCTCCTCTCACACATTATTTTTTGTCTTATTGTCTTTATAAAAAAATCAATATAAGATGTTGACGTGGTTTAACCGTGACCGTTCAAATATGAGAGAAAGGAAGGGGAGAGAATCCTCCTCCACACTTTATTTGGTATCAATTTACCACTTGTACTCGACAATCATGTCCTGTCTTAACTCATTTCATCAACCGTGTTGAGATAAATGTTGACTTCATAGACGTGGAAATGATTATTTGGTCTTTTTAGCAGTGAATATATATTTTAATGAAATTGAGTTTTAATGACAATCTTGTAATTGAGCCAGTTAGCGGTGTTATGGAGGGTTAACTTGGCAGCGGATTTAGATTTTGTGTTTTTCGTCCCAAGGTGGTTTTTTTTCGATTTTAGATGTCACAGATGTGAAAACAAGTTGAGTAGACCAAATAGCTCCTACATTAGGCAACCAAGGGTATACATTAGCATCTTTTAATAGGAAAGACTCAAGAAATTTAGGGTTTCTTCAACTCAGAATACAACGGAAGAATAATGTAAAGCACATCTTGCTAGATGATGAGCTACGTGATTCCAGCTTCTAGGAATGAAAGAAACAGTAACTAGAGTATATTGAAGCAAAATCTATATAGGATCAATACTAAACCAAAACCACAAAATCATATATTTGATTATAGAACCACAAGAAGCTCATTATAACAATAATTATACAAACTAAGATCGAAACAGGCCTTGCAAATTGATAAGAACACTTACCTGCAAAATTCCCAACTGAGGAAGCCATGGTAGCTTTGAAACAATGTACCTTCTCCTCTCTAGCAAAATCCAAAAGTACTCAACCAAACAATAGGTTGTTTGATCGATAATTAAGAGTACATTTTTTTGGAGCAATGATTGCTATTTATAATAAATCCATCCCAATGATTCTCCCATTAGAATCATCATAGGATACCAACAATGAATCCAAAACATATCATGAGTGCATAAGTAAAACACCAGATTTCCAATCCCACAAGAACTAGGACAAACTGATTTTATAATCTTAGAAGAATTGGGACAACTTTAAGTTTTCCAACAAGATTTTCCTATATCAATTAAAAC